TGTTCTCCACACTGAGCGTCCCCTCCAGTGAACATTACGGACCCTCACTATTCAAACTGTGGTCCATAGACCAGAAACCTCAGCGTGACCTGGGAGGAATGTAGAATTTCAGACTACACCTAAGAACAGCTGAAAACTGAACTCGCATTTAAGACAATTTCAGACAATTTATTTCCACATTAATGTGTACAAGAAGCACTGTGATAGTACATATCCAAGGGCCAAATCTGGACCAAAAATAGCCAGAACAGAATGAAACAGGTGTTTGCTTCTTAGAGAGCAAGCCTAGAAGGAGGGGAGTATCACTACAGATAAGCCATGTTTATAAGTGTGCTGAAGGACTAGACATTATTAGAATTTCATAGGTTTCAGCCTGCTTTTCTATAAAGAAGAAATCTTACTGGACACGGGATGAGGAAGAAGGTAGGGCAAACATGGATGTTGGAGTAAATGCTGGCTTTTGCGTGGGCTGTGTGTAGTCCGTTTTATGGGGATTTGAGCCCAAGGCAGGAGACCTTTAAGGAGGATACCAGGAAACTGCACTCAGCTTTCTAAGTCTGGAGCAACTTGGCCTGGACACATCAGTAAGCGTTTGAAGAGCCCCCTAATATGTTAAGAAGCGTGAAGACAATTTCAAAACAACTTACATCTCCAAACTGCTGCTCAGGAAAGCACATTCATTCTAGAAATGGCCTAGCTGCTCCCACCCCTAACCTTCTCATGTCCTTCTAATCCCACCACCAGGTGGGGCTAGTGTGCAGCCAGGGTAAGAACCATCCCCTCATTTTCCTACGGGGGAAGGTGAGGACCCCAGGAGTGAAAGGGCTGAGCCTTGGGTCTGGAACCCCAGGGTCCTGACATTAGTTAAATCCACTGAGTGCTGCATCCACGGTCCTGGTGAAAGGGAGAAAGAATAAAGAGAATGGAAAATAGGGCTGGTGGGGAAGAACCTTGGAGGATGCCTCCGTTTGGAGAGCAGAGGAAGGAAACAGAGCGAGAGAGACAGCAGCAGGCTGGGAGGAAGGAACCAGCCACCGGGGAGGTTGAGGGATGGTTAACACTGTTGCAGGCCCCAGAGAGGAAAGCAGGGTGGACTGAGGAAAGGCCTTTGGGACTGGCTGATGGAGGACATTCGGAGACAGTGCAGCTTAATGGTTTACAGAGTTTCAGAGCCAGGCTGCCTCAAAGGCACCCTGGGGCCACGTGAGAACATCATGTGTCTGCATTAGCTTATGAGCTCAGTGACTCTGGACACATTAGTTTAGCTCTCTATGCCTCAGTTTTCTCATCTATAAAATGTGTATAACATTAGTATTCGCCTAATAGGATTGTCGTAAGTGTAACTGACCTAATACATGTAAAGCATTCAGAATGGTGCCAGGCATAGCGCGTGTTTATGATCAATATACATTAGTTCTTCTTATTGTTGTGGTTACTACTGGTGGTGAGTGAGACACAATTTTAATTGAATGGTGGGAGTGGTGTTAGATTCTATAATGCTCTTATGGGGTTTTGCATCTTAGCTACCATTTTATGCAGAACAATCTCTTAAATTGGCAATTGCTAAAGAGTTTAGAAAGATAAGTTCAGTCCTGTGTGCAGAAGTGAGGCAGACCTAATCAGGCCTCACTGAGACCTTCTTGTGATAGAATAGCTTGTCTACACTGGCACCCCAGCATCTTATACCCGACCCTGAATTTCAACAGCCTGGTACTACTAAATTAATCTGATCATCACATTTTAGCTGGCTTAGTAGTAAGAGGCACACTCGTCCTAAAGAACGTCATCCCCGTATCGCAGTGGTGACATGAGACCTTCTCCTTACTTGCACAGTGGTCCCCTGTGGGACCCCATGCACCAGGGATTGCACGGTCAGTAGGGAAGGGGAAAGTGAGCAGGAGACAGGGAGGGATGGGAGGAGAGGAGGACTGGCTTATTCACACCCTCAAAGCACCCTCTAGAATACAGACATCCGTGAAGCGCAGCAATCAAAGGAAAACCCTACAAACAAGCTGCTACAAGCAGCAGCCAGGGTGTGGAAGTCCTGGACATCATCCCTGTGTGCTGTGCTGGTGACTGAGCCACTAGGAGTCACTTTTAGTCTGTGTTCATTTGGTGTCAGGTTTCTGAAAATGGTCCAGCATTTGCTGAAGTCTCCATCCTCTTCCCACAGCTTCCCTCCCTGTGCTGGTGTATCTCCTCCAGCTTCCCTCCAGAAGGCATTTCTGACCATCCAGGTAGTACATTGAGAGTAAAACTGCGCCAGAAGGGGACTTCTGATCTGCACATGGAAAGTAGCCTGTGTTAGCGAAGCAAGCAGAGTCCAGCATCAGTAACTAATTCCACAGCAGCACTGTGTGAGGGAGAGTTCTAACTTCACTAATTTACATGCAGCTGTCCAGTTCTCCCAACACCACTTGCTGAAGAGACTGTTTTTTTCTCCATTGTATGTTCTTGCCTCCTTTGTTGAAGAGTAATTGACCAAAAGTCTATGGGTTTATTTCTGGGCTCTCTATTCTGTTCTATTGATCCATATGTCTGTTTCTGTACCAACACCACGCTGTTTTGACTACTGTAGCTCTGTAGTATTCTCTGAAATCTGGGAGGGTTATTTCTCCAGCTTTGTTCTTTATCTTCAGTATTGCTTTGGCAATTCTGGGTCTTTTGTGATTCCATACAAATTTTAGGATTATTTGTTCTAGTTCTGTGAAAAATGTCCTAGGTAATTTGATAGGGATCACATTAAATGTGTAGATTGCTTTGGGTAGTATGGCCATTTTAACAATATTTATTCTTCCAAACCAAGAACATGGGATAACTTTCCATTTCTTTGAATCATTTTTAATTTCCTTAATCATATACAACTTAATAACAAAAAAATAAATAAACAACCCAATCCAAAAATGGGCAGAAAACTTAAACAAGCAATTCTCCAATGAAGACATACAAATGGCCAATAGGCACACGAAAAATGCTAAATATCACTATTTATCAGAGAAAGGCAAATCAAAACTACAATGAGGTATTACCTCACACCAGTCAGAATGGCTATCATTAAAAAGGCTAGAAATGAAGGCTGGAGAGGGAATCCTTCTACACTGTTGGCAGAAGGGAATGTATTCTGGTGCAGCCACTATGGAAAACAGTATGGAGAGTCCTTAAAAAACAAAAATAGATTTACCATATGATCCAGCAATCCCACTCCTGGGCATATATTCCAAGTGAACTCTAATTTGAAAAGATACATGCACCCCAATGTTCATAGCAGCACTATTTACAATAACCAAGATAAGGAAACAACCTAAATGTCCATCAACAGATGACTGGATAAAGATGCTGTGGTATATTTATACAATGGAATACTACTCAGCCACAAAAAAGAATGAAATAATGACACTTGCTGCAATGTGGATGCACCTGGAGACTGTCATTCTAAGTGAAGTAAGCCAGAAAGAGAAAGAAAAATACCATATGATAGCACTTATATTTGATATCTTAAAAAAAAGACACAAATGAACTTATTTACAAAACAGAAACAGACTCACAGACATAGAAAACAAAATAATGATTACCAGGTGGGGAAGGAGGTAGGAAGGGATAAATTGGGAGTTTAAAATTTGCAGATACTAACTGACATATATAAAATAGATAGACAACAAATTTCTACTGTAGAGCACAGGGAACTGTATTAAATATCTTGTAGTAGCCTATAAAAAAAGAATGTATGACTGAAACATTATGCTGTACATCAGAAACTGATACAACATTGTAAACTGACTATACTTCAATAAAATTTTATTTTTAAATTCTACAACAGCAGCAGGTTGAAAATGAGTCCTTAAAACACAGGAATATTTCATTGATTTTATCACTCATCATTGTTATTTCCTTCTTCCTATATTCTGTTTTTTTATTTTATTAATTTATGTCCTTGTGTTTTGATTTAATTCTTTCATTCTATAAAACTGGACACTTAAGTGAAATGGAAATCAAACCCAGAAATGAGGATTGGGGGAAAAATCAGAATGGATAAAACCTTGAGAGAAACAGAAATCATATTTTAGTTTTATTTGCCCTCTTGAGAACTTAATGAGCTTTTTCAGCCTGAAGATTCATGTTGTCACTCTGGAATATTCTCAGTCATTTTCCCTGTGAATACTGACTCCCTTTCAGTCTCTCCCTTTGGAAGTTCTGCTAGATCATGTCCGACTTCTCATTCTATTCTCTGTCTTGCATGGTTAATTCTTTCGTAGTTTCTACCTTGTTTCTCCAGCTACATTCCAGGTGATTTCTGCAGATCTGTGTTCAGGTTCAGTGATTTTTTTCCTCTGCTGTGCTGACTCTTTTGTTTAACCTATCCAGTGAGTCCTGGACTGCAATATTTTTTGTTTGTTTGTTTGTTTCTAGGAGCTGTATTTAGGTATTTATTAAATTTGTCTGCCCATAATGCTCTATTCTTTCAGTACAGTTCCTAATTTTAAAAAATCTTTTAAATTATTTTAACATACTTATTCTAAAACTTTCATTTCCAGTTCTTTTATTCCCATTCTTGCAATTCTAATTCACTGTCTACTTGCATCTGCTGGTTTCCTCTCCAGGTAATTAATTTCCTCGAGTGATTCATATCTCTTTAATTATGAACTACTCTGAACTAGTCTTCAACATTTGAAAAAATGGGCTTCTCATGAGCCCTGCACTATCCTTATAGAGTAGTTTTTCCAATTGTGTCTGTTGCCTTTCTAGAGAATCAACATCCAAGGGCCAATTTTTGTCACCAACTTCCCTGACTGGGATTCCTGAGGAATTAGGAGTAAATTCAGATCCTACACCTTCTCAAGGAGTGAGTCTGGGGGTTTGATTTTTCCTCACAGATGCACGGCTTCTTCAGGGTGTCCTCTGAAGGCAGAAGAAAGTTTTTCCAATTCCTTTGTAATGGAAAAGCAACATTTTCAGGCTTCAAGCTTCATGCAGGGAGCACAAGTCCTGCGCTCCTGCCTTACAGAGGCCCCAGGTCATCGCTGTAAGGGGCTCAGGGGTGGGCATTAGAAGGCAAGCCCAGGCCTGAGGGCCATGTTTTCTTCCAGCCGCCTGACATTCCTTCAACCCCACTTCCCACCCCATGGTTTCATGCGGTTCCCATGGCATCTGCTCTGGCATGCTCACATGGCTTTGAATTCAGCGCTTGTTTTTGGCTCCCACAGATTTCCCTATCTTTAAAGCTAAATACGCATTAAAATATTAATCTTCGTCACAGTTTATCCTACCTTGACCTTGAGTGATTCAGTTTATCCTCTGGTTTTCTTTATCGGGTGTTTTCAAACAGGGTCCTCTGAGCTGTGGGAGAGAAGGAAAGTGACAGGGTTGCTGACCCCTTCCCCACTCTACACCCTGTCCTCTACCTTGCTCTTCTTGTGCCCTGCCCTACGACAGCCCGGCAGTGTGACTCTGGCAAGCACTTCATCGCTCTGTGCCTCACTTTCTCCGTCTGTAACAAAGGAACAGTAACAGTGCTGCCTCAAAGGGCTATTGTGAGGATTAAATGAGATAATATACACGAAGCACTCATGTCAGTGCCTGGTTCAAAATAAGCACTCAGTTAGTGATCTTTGTTATTAATTATTAAGTCCCAAGTTGTATCTCTTTAAAAAAATGATTCTGAACTTAAAAAGTGTCTCTCTAGGTCTAGATGGGGCTTTAAAATGTATCTAGATATATTCTAGACTGGATACTTTCTAAAAAATCTTCCAGTTTGAAAATTCTTTACTTCTATGCCAACACCTTAGTAGGAAAGTTAGTTTTAGCCAAGCTTGGAACCTAGCAGGGTGGGCATAAAGGTCTGTTGTTTGTGATCATTCTCTTCCAGCCCCCTGACATTCCTTCAACCCCACTTCCCATTCCTTAGCAATTCTGTGATTTTCTTAATGACTCACAACGGACTTGTTGTAACAGTGGTACAAGCTTCCTTCTGACTAGAGTCAGCCTTGCTTCATGGTTTCTCAACATTGTGTCACCTGTCCCTAGATTTCTCCCTCAAATTGCCTAACTATAAAGAAATTTCATTTAATGGTCTCTCTCTGACCTTTACATTTAACCCCTTCTGCATTTCCCAGGAAAGTGGGGACCATGCAGCCTCAAGGAAAAGACAGGGTGAAGGGAAGAACTGGCTTTGTTGCCTGAGAGACGGTGCTGTTGGGAGCAGCATTTTCACTCCTGCTTTGATCTAGTCAGCAGTTGTTCAGCTCAGCTCCACACTCATGAGCTGGTAACAGCTTTTCTTACTTGGGAGCTTGACTACATCATGAACGAATGAGATGCTGAGGCAGGGTTCAGCCATGAGCAATGCGGGTGGATGGTCTCCCACCACATCCCAGGGTGAAGTGCAGAAAGTGGCAGGTCTGTGGCCTTAATTCACGTGCAAGAACTCTACTTTCTTCAGCGACAAGGTGAGATGTTCTCTTTGGATCCAGGGAAGTGACAGGAAGCCAGATGTGCCAGCTTCCCTGCAGGTTGCTATGTTGATACAACATCTGCCTACTAGCTGACTATAAGTTCCTAGTATCTTCTGAGGGTCCAAAACTCTCAAGATCAATAAGGTCTTTTTAACTGTAAGTAGGGTTGTTCCAATGCTACCGTGAATTTGGAGCTATGGTCACAACTGAGTTGATGACTTAGATAATAGTTGATTGGTACAATTGGTATAAAACATCCAAGGCTTCAGTGGAAGTAGGGAGAATATTAAGCCAGGTGCACCCAACCTCTTAACGCTGCTGAGACTTGAGGATATGATATGATTGACAGTAGGTCAGGGGTCTCTCAGTAACAGAGGCTGTGATTATTTGAACTCACCTAGGAAGGCTGGTCAGCACCTCAGCTCACCATACAGTTTCTCAGCTCACAGCACAATCTCAGTACATTTGACACTCTAACACTTACAGAGGATTCTCAGAGCCAGTCCTGGGATGTTACAACTATGTCAAAGGTGAGACAGCAGGGAAAGTGGGGGCTCTTTCTTCCCAGTCCTTTTAAGGGCCAAAGCCTGACACTTTCTTCAGAAGGCCAGTAGCTGCCTCAATGCCAAAATAAATCAGGCTCTCCTTGGTCAAAAGCAAGGCTAAGTTTCCATCACTGTGAGTTAACTTATTTACATGATGTGAGGTAAGGATCCAGCTTCATTCTCTTGCATGTGGCTACACAGTTGTCCCAGCACCACTTGTTCAAAGAGTATTCTTTTCTCCATTGATTTGATATCCTAGTGGAAAGTTAACTGACCACAGACACACAGGTTTATTTCTAGACTCTCAATTCTATTACAGTGATTTATCCTTAGATAGTACCACACTGTCTTGATTTCCATTGCTTTAATAATAACTTTTGAAACTGAGAAGTGTGAGTTCTCCAACTTTATCCTTCATTTTCAAGATTGTTTTGGCTATTCTGGGTCCCTAAAACATCCACATGAATTTTAGTATCAGCTTGTCAATTTCTAAAAAAGACGAAGCTGCTGGGATTTTGACAGGGACTGTATCGAATCTGCAGATTAACTGAGGCATTGCCATCTTAACACTATTAAGTCTTCCAAATCCATGAACACGAGGTTTTTCCATTTATGTAGATCTTTAATTTCTTTCAACAATCTTTTGTAGTTTCCAGAGTGTAAGTTTTGCATTCCTTTTGTTAAATATATTTCTAAGCATTTTATTATTTTTGATGCTTTGGTAAATTGAATTGTTTTCTTAATTTCATCTTTGGATTGTTTGTTGCTAGTGCACAGAAAATAACTGATTTTTGTACATTGTTCTTAATATCGTGAAAACTAGCTAAACTTGTTTACTACTTCTAATACTTTTTCTAAAAATTGGATTCCTTATGATTTTCCACTTACAAGATTATGACACCTGAGAATCGTTTTCCTTCTTCCTTTCTAACTTGAATGCCTTGTCTGTCCTTCCGTCCGTCCTTCCTTCCTTCCTTCCCTTCCTTCTCTCTCTCTGGCCCCGGTTTCCTTTAAATCTTCAGATCTTCTGACCTCACTCATCCCCTGGAGGGGTGAAAGGGCAGCGCTAGCTCTGTATCCTCAGGTGCTCTCCCTCCTGCTGCCCGGTCTCCCGTCTCCCATCTTGGCTGTAGCCACTGGCCTTTAAGGTGTGCGGACTAACAGGTGCAGGTGAGAGTAGGAGGGAGGAGGAGGCAGAGAGGATACGGGCGCCCAGACTCTCCTGCTCCTGGGACTCGACTGCCGGGCAGAAGCCATGCTGGCAGCGCCTGCTCGCTCACACCGCCTCACACCCCGACCGATTGTTGCAGCCCAGCAGCTCGGGAGCCCAAAGAGGGTGTGGACCACAGGGAGGCAGGGCGGGGGCAACGCGGCCGCTCGCTGCTGCCACCTGGTGGACGCGCCGGCGCGTAATCCAGGCCACGTTCTGCCCAGGCTTCTCCCTGGGTCCTGGGGAGTGGCTGGGGCCTTTGTGTCCTGGGGCCAGCAAGGGGATGCCTGAGCGCTGTTTCCCCTCCCTGGGTACTGGGGTATAACGGCTAGACGATGATAGGAAAATAGACACGTCATCGGGAGGGGCTGTGAAGAAAGGATTGGCGTTGCAGGAAGACAGTGTTAGCTTCTAATCCTGCTTCTAATCAGATGGGTGTAGTCTGGTCTTGAGCAGATCAGTGCCGTCTGCGTCATCTTCCTCAAGTGTGGAAGGTGGCGGCTGGACAAGTGGGTGAGACATTAGGGGTTAAGAAGACTTAACTTCTGTCCCTACCTCCCCCTTCGTACCCCTTATCACTGATTCATTTGTTACAGTTGTTTATCATCTCTCTTCCCCATGAGACTGTTAGTTTTATGAAAGAATAGATTGTGCCTGTTCACTGTACTCACTTTTCCTTCCCAACCTAGGTTAGTGAATGTCTGCCCTACAGTTGGTGCTTAATCAATACTTGTTGAATCAATCCCTCAATTCATCTTCAGTGTTTTCTCCACTCTCCATGCTCCAGGGCTCTATAAAAGTATATTGCATTATTCTTTGCCAAAGCACAAATTAGGGAAACTCCATGGTTCCCTGGTCAAGAGCCCGGCGCTGGACTCAGCCTGCCAGGTTCTGACTCCTGGCTTCATCACTTGCCAGATGGATGACCTTTGGAAATTTACTCAGCCTCCCAGGGTCTCAGATTCTTCACCTATAGATGGAGATAATGACAGTAATTACCTGACTGGGTGGTTGTGATGTATTAAATGAGGAAACTCATTAAAATACATAGTATAGTGCATCCATATGTCCTTCAATGTTAACTCTCAGTATCATCGTTCACTTGCACCGATCCAGCACCTCTCTCCTCGTGCCAATCTTTTAGACCTTCCTCAGTACATTCCTGCCCGGTTGCATTTCCCTGCCTGGGAATGTATGGTGAGCTCTGCTGCCAAGCAGATTTCCGGGTGTGGTCTTTCCTCTGAGCCAATCACAATGTTGTTAAATAAAACTAGTCTGTATGGCTGTGTCCATCCCCTTGGGGAGAAATACTCAGACAGGGACCAGGCAAAGAGGAGCAGGCTTCTGGTTGCTTCCCTTCTCGGTCTCCAGCCCTTCTCTTGCAATTGCAGTAAGCTCTAGCCCTGCCTCTTTATTTCACAGGCTTGTGTGGCCCTGAATGAAAGTGCTTTCACAGCAGCATAAATTCATATAGGAAGGCAACATGGTCTTGAGTCCTCTCTCTCTATTCCAGGCTGAGATTAACTTCCTTCTCTGGGACCATTTTCCCCAGTTGGGTGACCTTGGCTTAATGAAGCACACCCAGTGCTTCCCAGCAACTCACAATTAACAAAAAATGCTTCGGGGATCTTTCTGATTTTCTCCTCCCAATCAGTCCATAAAACTAACAAGGCAGGGGGTACATTTTATAGCTGAGGAGCCCCACCCTTGGATAGCAGCTCAGCCTCTCAGCCTCATACTGGGGCAGGGCAGCTCCAGACTTGAATGTGGGCCCCACACCTCTTTGTCTAGGGTACTTTTCACCCTGCCCAGATGGCTGTGATGAATTAGGCTGTTG